ACAATTTTGCGTTTTGTCATGTACTGTTCGTTTGCTTATGACAGAAAAATACCACAATTCCTCCTCATACAGTTGAAATACAAATTAAAGGGAAAAAACCGGTTTTTCGGTTTTACCGGTTTAGAATCAGACGGTTTTTCGGTTTTGATTTTAAGCAAAACCGCCCAAGCCTACAATCACGTGACTTTTCATCCAAGTGACGGGCAATCAAACAACTTGTGGACGATTTTTCTCCTATCAGAATGGCTGTAGCAAGAAAAACTGAATGGTAATTCATCTTTTGAGTCTTCTTTTGAAACTATCTCTAAATCAATACATTAAAATAGCCTTTTTTTGTTATACTGGCCTGCCCGTCAACTGAAATCCCAAAATTACGTCATTACAAACAAAGAATTAAGACTAACCTATCCTAACCCCTCCTACTGCTTCTAGTTTTTGTCAATATCAGACCTGCCAACCTTAGCAACTGATATATAGGGAGAATTCTTGGAGCAGCCAGATTAGTGTCTCGTTCAAACTCGTAGCTACATTCGCAGCACAAGAAGCCCCTTGACTAATGTTAAATTGGGTAATCTTGGACTAGATTTTCCACTTTTGCAGTTTTGCAGTCTCCTTAGGCAGCCGCGCGTAGATATTTCTCGATAAAATTCAATAAGATCGACAAGAAATCAGGATAATTGCCAGTTGCCAATACCGGTGTCACAGGACTTTTGCCCCCCCCCAGGAGATTCGCCCCCCTGTCAAAAGGGGGGCGATATTCCTAGGGATTTCGCCCCCCGGGAGAGCGATATTACTAGGAATTTCGCCCCCCAGGGGGGCGCAATTGTAGGGAGTGGGGGCGAAATTCCTGGGACACCGGGAGAAATTCCTGGGACACCGGAAGAAATTTTCACTACCGGGAGATCACAGGTCTATACCGGGAGACTCCCGGCTATGTCGGGAGAGTTAGCAGGTCTGCAATATGTGCAACTGAAAACTGTCTTGCTATATTTTCCAATACTATTAAGTTATTAGTGGTGACAAGTAACGAAGTAAATGTAATATATACTTCGATACTGTACTTGAGTTTTAATTTTGAAATGTGGACATATAAAGGAATTAATTTTGCCAATGGAGTACTTTTTACTTGGAATGAAGTCGTTTTATGAAGTAATAAGACAGTGTAAAATAAGTTCTTATTGGGACCAGATTTATTCCTGAAAAATAAAGAGAACATAGTGTACAGTTCATAAAATCCTATGGTCCTGGGCTAACGTGTAGACCGCTGATCACCAGTGCATGGATCGCACTATATACACACACGCATTTGCGTTTTCCTTGCATGTGGCTATGCTATCAAGTAAACCAATTGCTGTTCGCGGAGTCGCACGCGTTGGACTGTACAGTAACTTTCGAATGGCTTGTTATATATAGATGCAGTGTATGCTTTTGTCATGGCATATAAATTATAAAGTTTGCTCTTTGCGATTTGCCGATTAACCATTTTGGTGCGTAGAGTACACGTATGCAGGACGATACAATTATAGTTTTCCTTCCAGTCTTTCTTGAGGAATAATGAATGTGGATTGACAGCCGTTATTGAGATACAGTGTGGTCCACAGGATAGTAAATTGTTAACAAGAGATGTGGGCAGATAGTCTGGTTAAACATTAATGCCCAACATGAAATTGTGCTTTGGGATTCAGGTTAGGGACAGGCCCTACCTTTAACTGTGTTATAGTTACCTTCAAACTGTGCTACCTTTGAACTGTGCTACTCTCAAACTGTGCAATATATGGTGTTCGGCAGTTGTGAACATTAATTATTTCTTCCTGTGGCAGACTCAATAGATATTATACTGGCTGTGTCTATTGACAATGAACTGAGGTTGCTATTTGAGGTGGCGATTTGCAGAAAAGTGAATAATCAAATAGCGTTTTTCAAGCTAGCGATTTAGAAAGTCAAATAGTGTATGGCTGTATAAGGCATTTGTCTTGCCACATGTTGGTTATTGCTCTCTTATATGGTATTTTTATATTAAAACAAGACGCCTGCTCAGGTGTTAACACTGGCCTGATCCCAACCCCAAGCCCTTCTCTAACCCCAACCAGTAAACATCTAATAAACAATTTAAGAATTAAGAAAGTGGGGGGGGGGGGGG